CCTGTCAGGCTTCTCTTCCTTTTTCTCCAGTGCCCTTGAGCAGTGGGGTTTTCTAATGGCTTTTTAGGAAACTACTAAGGCAACGCTGGTGACACTCCATTCATTAAACACTAAAGTATAAAAATATTTCATGTCGTTGAGTGTCATAGCAAGGTCTCCACTGACAGCCACGGACCAAACTCAAACTTTTTAAATCATACGCATAATACACTTTAGCATTTTAATGATCGAGATATCCTCACCACTTTAAAAGTGAAGAAACAGCAGATGGTGTGTACTACTTGAATGAATGGGAGCGACTTGAGTGAACTGTGTCTGTAGCTGCTCAATACTAGGAGTAGTAATTCACTTAATTACTACTAACCTAAGAGCCTCTATTGCTAAATTAATCAGGATTCCTGACAATTCTCTCTTCAAACTATTTCTGAATATATTGTAGGAAAAATACTTTTGCGTTTTATATTCAGATATTTCTTACCCTAACGAGCTTATCCTCTTCTCAGTCTTCAAAACACGTATCCCCCGGGGATACGTTCCAGGACCCCAAGTGGATGCCTGAAACCACAGGTAGAACCGAGCCCTATATATACATTCTTTCTTGAACACTGGGATCATTACTAAGTAAAATAAGCATCACTTGAACACAGCACTGTGATACCTCAACAGTCGATCTGATAACTGAAACGATTACTAAGTGACTAATGGGCTGATAGCATACAGTGTGGATAAGCTGGACAAAGGGATGATTCACATCCCAGGCAGGAGGAAGCAGAACAGTGAGATTTCATCACACCGCTAGGGATGGCGTGCAATTTAAAACTTATGAATTGTTTGGAATTTTCCATTTAATATTTTCGGACCATGGCTGACCGCAGGTAACTGAAACTTTGGAAAGTGAAACCACAGATAAGGGGGGGACTACTGGAGATTTTAATTTAAAGAGTTTTTGTAATCCATTTACAGCCTCCAGCCTCGAGCAATCTCTTCCTGGCTCTGTGATGATACAGCTATCTCCTGGATGGAAGGCATCCCTAAGGAAGTGGTGTTTGGGTTGAGGCCTGAAATATTAGTATGATAATCTGGACAGGGCCAAGGTGAGGGGTGGGGAATGAGAGGAAAGCAGTCCTTGGCAGAGTTAGCAGCTGTGCAAAAAGACTCCCGTGATTGAGAAAACACATTTCAGTCCTCAACTCAGACATCACTTCCTCAGGGATGCCTTCCATCCAGGAGCCCCCGCTACCACCAGTCAGGCCCCTCTGCTATGTGCTTCACAACATCCTACATTTTTCTTCTTCAGAAGCTTATGTTTAATGATAAAATTCTGATGGGGTAATTAATGTCTATCTCTTGGCTTCGATTCTATGCTCCTGGAAGCTTTGAATTTTGTTCATCCTGCAGCCCCCAGCACATAATAGGCACTCCGTCAATATTTATTAAATAACTATTTGTTGAATATTTTTGAATAGCCACTGCACAGGGGGACACAGCAGTGAGCAAAACACACATAGCCCCTGTCTTGGAGCTTATACCCTGGGGAAGGAGGATGGGTGGAAGAGGACAAACGAAAAAGAAGAAAACAAAAAATTAATGTGTAATTACAACTGTGGTAAGAGTTTGACTATCATCCTTACTCCCTCCTGGACACTACAAGGAATAGAAGACAATGATTTTTCATGAAGCTTTGCTTTTCCTTCATCTATTTAGCACATTACATGTCCCTTCTACTTTCTGTTCCTCATCTTAATAAATCCCAAGTGATCAAACCAAAGTCAGACACCTTCAGGTTGTCAAAAATAGGCTGCATTAGACCCTGGCTGAAAGTCCACCTGCCTGCATATGTCTGGGGAAGACATCTTCCAAACTGAAGAAAGGCTAATGGTTCTAAATTGTTGGTTTCTAGGCACCAGGGTTAATAGAACAATTTTGGGGACAGAGCTTGCTAAAAGGAAGGGCAATTATCAGCAAAGGATACCACAACCAAATAATACTTTTAAATTCTTCCAACACACATTTTTCTAAAGGGGCAGATGGATTATAAAATATAACCTTCACTAATGCTACTAATATTTCACTTCTAAAAACATTACTTTTTATAATCCCCACCATGTCACCTTTTAGTGACATGTTAGTGTCATTAGTTTCAGTAAACATTAATATTATTGGAAAAAAAAGTCTAAGTTTAAAATTTGTTCAAAATTGTATAGCTAGAACTTAAGTGGTTCTCTAGTGATATACGTGACACCTCTAAGTTACCTTTAAAACTAAGGAAAAACTAGTAATAGCCAGCATCTATTGAATGCCTACTATTAACAGGAGCTATGCTAAGCACTTCATGTAAGTTTTATTAACTCTTACAATAAACATATCTAGGAGGTGTCATCATCTTTGTCTTATAGTTGGCAACTGAGGCTTGGATGAAGTAACCTGATCCAAGGCAACTGTGTGATCTTACGGTTAGTCCACTGCTGGGGCCAGTGCCTACTCAGTGACATTTGGGGAATGGCCTATTCCACTGTAAAACAAAGGGTCAGAAGCAATGGGGGGAATTCTCTTTGACATGCTTTTGCAGTGAGTTTTCCAGTGGATGTTAGGTTCCTGTTAAGGGCTGAATTATGTTCCCTTAAAATTCATATGTTTGAATCCTAACCCCCAGTGCCTCAGAATGTGATCCTATTCTAAAAAGTGGGATCTTTAAAGGTGTAAGTAAGTTAAATGAGGTCATTAGGGAGGGCTCTAATCCAATACGACTGGTGTCCTTATAAGAGGAAATTTGAAGACAGACACTACACAGAGAGAAGACAATGTGAAGATGATGTGAAGACACAAGGAGAAGACAGCCATCTACAAGCCAACGAAAGAGATCTCAGAAGAAATCAACCCTGATGAAACCTTGATCTTAGACTTCAAGCCTCCAGAACTGCAAGAAAATAAATTTCTATTTAAGCCCCCCAGTCTGTGGAACTTTGCTGCAGCAGCCCTAGCCAACTACTAACGGTTCCTAAGTCACGACTGCTTACATCCCATGAGCTTGATGACAGTCATGGCTCACCCACGCCGTTTTTAGACTGTCAATGACAACTATTCAAGTAAACTTATGTTCCCATCTCACTAGGCAAGAAAATTCGTGCATTAATATGTAGAGACTAAGTAGGAGGGAAACAGCAGTGAGAAAAAGTTTAAGTACAGACATTTTATTCCCCTCATCTTCTACCCCCAGAAGGTAAGATGCCCCCGTAGGAAAATGCACATGGAGTGATTATCTCCGTTATAACACATACCAGGAACACACTGCCCATCGGCCAAGGTGGTAGTGTGATCAGAGCAAGAGCTTTAATGGGACACAGGGAGGGGAGGAGACGAGGCATGCCCAGGACAGAGGATGAAGAAAGAGAAGGTGACAAGAGTAAGATGGATGCTCAGGGGGTGGGAGCTGGGGGTGGACTGATAAACAGGGTGTGGCTGCAGTTCTCTTGTGGGTGAGGGGAAGAACAGCAGGGGGCCCAGAAAAAACTTTCCTTTGCTTCCTCCCCACACCCTTTCTTAACAGCCAAACCTTAGAAGTGATGGGGCAGGAGGAAGAAAAAAGAAAAAAAAAAAAAAAAAAAAGGGACAGGTTAGGAGAGTGAAAAACTGAGACACCTTCCCTGCCCTTCTTTACTTCTTTTTAGTATTTTTTTCTCTAGTTCACTCTATTCCCCACCTTTCCCTCTTCCAAAATATCCTATATAACAGATATCTACACTGCCTACCAACTTCTTGTTTTTGGTCCAAAGAAAGGCACGTGGAGCAAGGAGAGAAAGTGCATGTAAACGGGCTGACCACAGGAACTGCCCACACCTCCGCTACCTCCTAATGACCATACTTTGACTGCATCAAACTCATCAGCCAGTAACATATTTGTACATTGCTTGTAGGAAATGACTTTGGGTTGTCTGCCAAGGACAAACCCTCCTGCTTTGCTTGCCCGTCCCCGCTTAGAGCAGTGGGCATGTTTGAACTTTGTGACCAGGGACGGTCCCTGGCTCAAGGTAAGCCAAAAAGTCTCTTCCATAGGGGTCTGAACTAGATGGCTAGTCAGTCTCCAGGAGTTGTAGGGAACATCAGATGTTGGTTGGCTTGAGGGCTGAGGTTGGTTTGAGTACCACATAAACGCATAAATTCTGTCCCATGTAACACAGAAACAGAGACAGCCAAAAGAAGAGAAGACTGTAGGAGCTGTACGGGGGGAAGTGGTGGTCAGATACCACCTGCCACAAAAGTAATCTCAGATCCTGAACAAATCCATTTCTTGGTTTTGTTCCCTTGAATTCCTAATAAAAATTTGTTTGCATAAACTGATAGGTTTGTATTTGCAACCAAAGAATTGATGAAATAGTGATAATTTACTAAGCACCTTTAGGTATATTATCTTATTGGAGATTCACAATACCCTAAGGAAAAAAAGTAGGCAGTTAGTTTTACTCTTGTTTTACAGTTTATAAAGTAGAGGCTCTGGGGCATTGTGGCCCCCAAAGAACCAGCCTCCTGGGATGGAAACCCTTGTGAAGCCCCTTCCCACGTTAGTTCTACGTTTGGATGTGTGACCTCCTTAGACCAATGGGATATTAGCAAGCTCAGTGACCCAAGCAGAGGCTTGATAAGCCCTTATACATTGGAACTTGTCGTCTTAGCACCCTGAAAGGATGCTAAGGTATCCAGGAGAGACAGGCCCCAAGGAGAGGCCTTGTGAGATGAGACACGTGGACAGAGATGCCACATGAAGGAAAACTGAGATGCCCCCAGGCAAACCCCCAGCTGAATGTTGCCACATGGATGACCCCAGCCAACAGAAGAAAAGGGCAGAAGAGCTGCGTGGCTGACCCATAGAATCGTGAGCTATTATACGTTGTTGTTTTAAGGCGTTAACTTTTGGGACAGCTTTTACACAGCAACAGATGAAACAGATGTTATGTAACTTCTCCTATATCTGAAAGCTAATAAATACAGCCTGAATTCAGGTCTCTTGACTCATGTCAGTGATTTATTCACTGTTTCAAGATATAACTGAAATTGGAGAAAAATAACTCCAAAGTTTCATAAGCTTCACTTAAACAATAGAAAATGAATTTTAGCTCAGAACATTCAACTGTGAAATTATCCTGTCAGCATATAAATGAATTAAAGATATACGTATGTAAATGTGGACAGGTAGGAGAGTGTGACTAAAATACTTAGCATGTTACACAATGTCTAATGCTTTTCTCCTTTGTATTGAAAGAATTTTAAAACTACCAAAGACAGAACGTACAATAATGCTCGCAGTGGTATTATTTCTAATGGCAAAAAAACAAACAACAATGACAAAAAATTACCCAATGACAGAAAAAAGGACAAATTATGATATATTCATGCAATAGTGAAAATAAGGAACTAAAGTTTCCTATATCAACGTGGATAAATCACAAAGCATCAAGTTGTGGGAGTGGAGAGAAGTGGAAGAACACAAACAGCTTAATATCATTTATATAAAATTCCCCAAACACAAGGCTCAGCAACATATTGTCGAGGGATATATGTGTAACAACAGCAATAATGAAAATCAAGGGACGAATAAGTACAATATTCAAAATCACAGACTCTCTTGAAGGGAAGAAGGCAGGAGAGGATATACTTGGAGAAAGGCAGTGAGGGCTCCAAAGACATTCGTCATGTTTCATTCCTTAATCTAGGTGGTAGATAAATGCAGCTTGTTTTTCAGCAAGCTGCATATCCGTGATAAATAGCTTTTCGTGTCTATAAAATAGATGACACATTTCAGAAAATAACCACAAGAATTAGCAAAAGAATATTAGACTGTCTCCGGCAATTTGTGCTTTATATCATCCAGAAATTACCTAGCTTCCAAACGCTCAGTAATTTTATTTTTAAAGCATTTTTAAAAGCACACTACAGAGGTAGCTACACTCCCAATAACACAGCAATAACAGCAAAGCTTCCTATAGCTCTTAACTCACATTAAAATTGCTACCAAAGGAAAAACAGATATTTAAATTTAGTGCTTAAAATATTTCATTCAGTCCTTTTCATGACTTTTTGGGACCTGCCTACGTAACACCTACCTTCTTACAAACAAAATTCCCTCTGAACTCAGCACAGGTGCTTGTTCTTCAAATGGAGGGCTTAGTGAATGATCTAGAGCTTCCATGAATTTGCCCGCCCTGGATACAGCTCCCGGAAAGGACTGCACTGTGTACTAACAGACCCATACTCCTCCCTGGCCAGAGTTGACTATATTAGGAATGGACAGCTAACCCAAAGCCAACCAGTCCCGGTCTGACACCTGCCTACCTCTCCAGCCTTGTTCTTACTGTCCTCTCCCTCAAAATCAGTGTGGTTGGTGTATCTTTCTGTCAGAGCACCTAACACAATTCACAAATAATTATACATTTATTTCAAGGATTACTCACTAATGTCTAACTTCCCTCTTAAACCATAAGCTCCGCTCATGGTGGGAACAGGTCAGTTATTGCTCATTATTGTATTCCACCGACTAGCACAGTTTCTGATACAATTCCTAAAAACAGGCATTTAATAGCTTGTGGGGTTTTTTTTAAGAGGAAGAAAGGATTTTAATATTATGCCCCCCTTTCTCTAAAGCTTTTTGGGCATCCCTTGGAGATACTGTGGATTCAGTTCCAGACCACTGCAATAAAGCAAATAAAATGAGTCACACAACATTTTTGGGTCTCCCAGTGTACAGTTGTTTACACTAAACTGTAGTCTATTAAGTGGACTGGCATTATGTCTAAAAAATGTACATACCTTAATTAAAAATACTTTCTGGGCTTCCCTGGTGGTGCAGTGGTTGAGAGTCCGCCTGCTGATGCTGGGGACACGGGTTCGTGCCCCGGTCCGGGAAGATCCCACATGACGCCGAGTGGCTGGGCCCGTGAGCCATGGCCGCTGAGCCTGCGCGTTCGGAGCCTGTGCTCCGCCATTGGAGAGGCCACAACAGTGAGAGGCCCGCGTACCGCAAAAAAAAAAAAAAAACTTTCTTGCTGAATATACAGCGGAGAAAAGACAGTCTCTTCAGCAAGTGGTGTTGGGAAAGCTGAACAGCCCACATAAATCAATGAAGTTAGAACACTCCCTCACACCATGCACAAAAATAAACTCAAAATGGCTTAAAGACTTAAATATAAGACATAACACCATAAAACTCCTAGAAGAGAACACAGGCAAAGCATTCTGAAATAAATGGTACCAATGTTTTCTTAGGTCAGTCTCCCAAGGCAATAGAAATAAAAGCAAAAAGAAACAAATGGGACCTAATCCAAACCTATAAGCTTTTGCACAGCAAAGGAAACCATAAACAAACAAACAGACAATCTACAGACTAGGAGAAAATCTTTGCAAACCATGTGACTGACAAGCGCTTAATTTCCAAAATATACAAACAGCTCATACAACTCAATGACAAAAGAACAAACAACCCAATCAAAAAATGGGCAAAAGACCTAAGTAGACATTTCTCCAAAGAAGACAAACAGACGGCCAACAGATACATGAAAAGATGCTCATCATCGCTAATTATTAGAGAAATGAAAATCAAAACTACAATGAGGTACCACCTCACACTGGTCAGAATGGCCATCATTAAAAAGTCTACAAATAGCAAACGTTGGAGAGGGTGTGGAAAAAAGGGAACCGTCCTATGCTGTTGGTGGGAATGTAAATTGGTGCAGTCACTATGGAAAACAGTATGGAGGTTCCCTAAAAAACTAGAGTTGCCACATGATCCAGAAATCCCACTCCTGGGCATATATTTGGAGAAAACTATAATTCAAAAAGATACATGCACCCCAATGTTCATAGCAGCACTATTTACAATAACCAAGACATGGAAACAACCTAAATGTCCATGAACAGATGAATGGATAATGATGTGATATGTATATACATATATGATTATATATTTTAAAAAAAAAAAATCAATACAATGGAATATTACTCATCCGTAAAAAAAGAATGAAATAATGCCATTTGCAGCAACATGGACGGACCTAGAGATTATCATACTAAGTGAAGTAAGTCAGAAAGAGAAAGACAAATACCATATGATATCACTTATATGTGGAATCTAAAATATGACACAAGGGAATTCCCTGGTGGTCCCGTGGTTAGGACTCGGCGCTTTCACTGCCAGGGCCCAGGTTCAATTCCTGGTCAGAGAACTAAGATCCTGCAAGTTGCGTGGCGTGGCCGGAAAAAAAAAAAAAACTTATTTATGAAACAGAGAAAGACTCACAGACATAGAAAACAAACTTATGGTTACCAGAGGGAAAGGGGGAGGGGAGGGATAAATTAGGAGTTTGGGATTAGCAGATACAAACTACTATATATAAAATAGATAATCAACAAGGTCCTACTGTATAGCACAGAGAATTATATTCAATATCCTGTAATAAACCACAATGGAAAAGAATATGAAAAAGAATAAATACATACATGTATAACTGAATCACTTTGCTGTACACCAGAAAGTAACACAACACTGTAAATCAACTATATTTCAATTAAAAAAAAAACTTTATTGGGACTTCCCTGGCAGTCCAGTGGTTAAGACTCTATGCTTCCACTGCAGGGGGCGCAGGTTTGATCCCTGGTGGGGGAACTAAGGTACCACATGCCGCATGGCACAGCCAAAACAAACAAACAAGCAAAAAACAATAAAATACTTTCTTGCTAAAAACTGTTAACCATCATCTGAGCCTTCAGTGAGTTGTAGTAGTAACAAAGATCACTTATCACAGATCACCATAACAAATATAAAGTTTGAAATATTGCAAGAATTACCTAAATGTGACACAGAGACATGAAGTGAGCAAATGCTGCTGGAAAAACGGCACCAATATATTTGTTTGATGCCAGGTTGCCATAAACCTTCAATTTGTAAAAAAAACGCAATATCTGCAAAGGACAATAAAATGAGGTATGCTTGTATTTTTGTTTCACTTATATGGAAATATACCCACTTTGGGCAGACCCAAAATTAAGGTAAAGGAATCAAAGCCATTACAGAATCTACATTTATCCTCAAAGAAGAAAATGTCATAGAATGCCACATTAAATTTGACAAGTTTAAGGAGTTTACAGAAACATACCTGAGTGAAGCTGAATTTTGCCAATAACACCTTCTACCAACCCCAGACAAATGGGATTCCAGGCAAGAAGTAGATCAGTAGCTAAAATAAAATAAGAAGCAATCATGAAAACATATTCATCAGAAAACATATTAAAACAGTATCTTTATAGAGAACAAACTAGTGGTTACCAGTGAGGAGAGGGAAGGGAGAAGGGGCAATATAAGGGTGAGGGAGTGGAAGGTACAAACTGTTGGGTGTAAGATAGACTCAAGGATGTATTTTACAACACAGTGAATATAGCCAATATTTTCTAATAACTGTAAATGGAAAGTAACTTTTTAAATTGTATAAAAATTTTTAAATTTTTAAAAAGAAATGTCACAGGAATGTCACAAGACGATTAAAAAAAAAAGGTATCTTTAGCAGTATATTAAAAAATGATCAGCTTTCCAAAAGAGCAGTTTTCAACACCCAGAACTGAATACATTACTATCGAGCACTTTGTGGACAGGTATTAATTCCGACCTGAATAAGTCTTCTAATATACGGACAGTTATGGGGAGATAACTGAAATTCTAAAACTCTACTCAGATGGGAGGCAGTACTCTGGCGCCCTGCAGTGGAGGAAGGAGGCTGGTACACTACAAGAGGGCAAACAAGAGGAGTTATCCAAGGTGCTGTCGCCATGGCCAGTCCCAGATCCAAAGACAAGGCCTGAGAAACCACCACAGAGATGTGCACTTACCTTTTCCCAAAGAAGCTAACACCAAGCAAAGAAACCCAGAAAGCAAGTGCTCTTTTATGTGACTTCTATGGAAAAAACAATAGGAATTGCTTCCATTTATACTGAGTGCCTAATATGTGCCAGGCATCCAATCAGGGTTCCTCATCTGAACCACAGAACAAGACAATGATTTGGATGACTGTTTTCTCAATTCTCCCAAGGACGGTACATAGTTTGTACCATTCTAGACACACAGAAGAGAAGCTAATTCATTACATGCAAAGGATGCCTGAGGACATTAGGGCATAATTCTGTTGTGGAACCCAGGCTACAAAAGGCTGTTATATCCATGGAGATAAAGGTAACATTAGTGGTGGTTCAATAGCAGGAAAAAATTAGCAAGAATGAAAACAGCATTTCTCTTAGCAGAAAATTTAAATTACATTTTAGTTATTACCATTTAAATTCTATTTTAATGAAATGTATAATCAATCTGTAACACATGTGGGTAATTACAGAAGAGTTTTTGACTATTGTATCTTGAACATCTCTGTTGTTAATGATACAGTCAATGGGAGGCAAAAAGAAGTTACCTTCTGTTTTTATTTCAAGAATTAAAGTAAAATAGGGAATTAATTTTTTTAAAGGCTGTTATACACATTATCATTTCTAACCCTAACAATTCTATGAGTTAGGTATTAGGAGTCCCAATTCACAGATGAGGAAATGGAGCCTTAGAAAAGTAAAGTGGCCATGTCATACAACGGATCAAGGGCAGAGCTGCAATTCAAAGCCAGGTCTGCATGACTCATGGCCTGTGCTCTTAACCATCCAACTACAGTGCCTCCCTCAGAATTTATATATGGAACTAATCAGTAAGACAATATTTACATTTTAAATAACATGCATTCTTATTATAAATACTGTATAAAATTGGAAAAAATATTTTATCACTTCCATCCCACCACCCAGAGATAACATTATTTTGCTACATTTCACATATGTCTGTGTGCATATCCAACTGCAATATTGCAAACACAAGACTATATGTTAATTTTTCTTATACCATTTCGTATTTTCTCACATCTTTAAAATATTCTCCAAAATTATAACTTCATGGCTAATTTTCCACTTAAGGAAGCACTTCCTCACTCTTGGACATTTAAGTGATTTCCAATTTTTCTCTATTATAAACAATACTGTGATCAATGATGAACATTATGCAAATACTTTATTTCCCTAATTAATAGCTTTAGAACAGTTCCTAGGAATGAAATTAATAGGTGAAAACATTAAAAAAAAATGAAAGCTTTCAAATATTACCAAAGTGCTTTCTGCAAAGGTTATGCACCAAGTTAGATTTCTGCCAGAAGCATATGAAAATGCTTCTTATGCTTTGCCATCATTTAGAATTTCTTTTTAAATTTTGCTAATTTGATGGCATCCATTGCCTAAATGATGTTTATTTTCTTTTCATTGCTGGTAAGATTAAACATTTAATTATAAAACTGACTGCTTATGTTTCTTCTTCTATGATTTTCTTATTCATATCCTCTAACAATTTTTCTTTATGTTCCTTATTGATTTACGAATTTTTATATTAAGAACATCAACTCTTTGACGTGTTTGTAAATATTTTCAGTTTTAAATTTTTATACAAATCTGTTTTTTCATTATTTTTTCGCTTATCATATTATCTAAGTTGTTCCTTACCCATTATCAATTATGTATTTATTAATTTTACCTCTTTGTTAATTTATAAAAATCTAACTCTAACTCTGGAATTCATGTTGGTGTACAAACTAAAAGTACCCTGATTTCTTTTCAAATAACCAGAATCCCTGTCAGGCAGGCCAAATCTCAACATCTGCCAACACAGGTGCCCCTGCTAAGGAAACAGCTCCAGCTACTCATAACCCCACCCTGACTTCAGATGAACAACCACAGTTTTAAGACTCTATCCCTTGGGTTTCAGATGAGCTCTAGGAATATGGAGGAGGATG